CATTTAGTGCAGACACAAAGCCAGGAAACTCATGATGGTAGTCAGTAGGCCTCAGGCAAGTCATCGGAGAGAGCCTTTTCTCAGGACGTCCCAATACATAAGTCACAAGCACCTTCCAATTCCACAGGGGGTTCGATATGGTCAGTCACTCAGTCAGAATCAGGATCCTCTCATAAAGTATGAGGAGCTGAATTTGGGCAGCCCACCACACTCTTGACATTTTCTGCTCCATTGGGGTTGATTTTCTCTTGGAATGAGACTAAAGCGAGTACTAAAGGAGATAAAAGCATATGGCGTGGCTGCTATTTCTTGTGCAGGTGGAAAGGTATCCTGAGCGAGTGAGTAGGCAGCACTGAGGACATGCAGAGCTAGTGGTGCTACAGATTTCTCAGTGAGAATTGTACAGCATGAGTCTTCCTGGGACGTGGGTCTCGTAGCAAAGAAAGTGTGAATGTTTGGAGGAGAGTGAAGACGGTAGCACTTACACTGTTGGAGTGGATAAGGTCATTGATCTTCTTCCTACCGCACATTCCTCCAGATGGTTGAGGCTGCACTAACTCAGGTGGCAACCTCAGGCCAAGTTGGGACGGTCTGGTGATGTGGCCTACTCTAGCAGTCCCAGGAGAAGAGGACATTCCACCCCGTCGGAGTGACTACAATCAGACAAGAGGGACGCCATAGGGGCAGGGCAGGTAGATACTAAGGTGAATTTGCCAGGATATGACCAAAAAAATAAAAAATTTCTAGGCCTCACAGCCAAAAATCATCCAAAAAAGACTCAACCCAGCTTGCACTTAGCCAAAAAGATGTAAGATTCAGTTCCAAGTCTCTGTTCTGCATTTCTTTTTTTAAAAAAAGTAGCATTTAGAGTCACACGGTCATATAGCATTGAAACAAGCCCTTCAGCCCACCATTTCTGTGCTGACCAACAAGCACCAAACTACACTAATCTCATTTACCTGCACTTGTCTGTAGCCTACAATGCTCCGGCATTTTAAGAGCTTGTACTTACTCCCACTACCCCTCTCAGGCAGCACATTCCATGTATCTACCACCCTCTGGGTGAAAAATTTTTCCCTCAGATTTCTTCTAAACCATTTACTCCTCACCCTATGCTTATGCCCTCTGGCCTTAGACAGATCTGCCATGGGGAAAGATTATCAACCCTACCTATATCTCTCATAACTTTGAATACCTCAATCAGATCCCCCCCTCAACCTCCTCTGCTCCAAGAAAATGAGCCCAGCCTATCCAGTCCCTCCTCATAATTGAGACTTTTTTCATTCCAGGCAAAACCCTGAATCTTCAGTGCAATCACGTCCTTCTGTGGTGACCAGAACTGCACACAGTATTCCACCTGTGGCCAAACCAATGTTTTATGAAGTTGTAACATGACTTCCTTGCTCCTATATTCTATACCCTGGTTAATGAGGGCAAGCTCCTGTATGCATTCTTCACCACCCTCTCTACCTGTGCTGCCACCTTCAGGGATGTTAGTACTTTGTTCCTCAGTACTCACTTGGGACTTACATTCATTGTGTAAATCCATCCTTTATTAGACATTCCAAATGTATCACTTCACATTTATCAGGATTAAATTCCATCTGCTCCACCCAAATTGCCTGCTGATCAATCAGACTGTAGCCTGAAACCCTCTTTCTCACTATCAACATCAGCACTAATGTTCATTTTTTACATTTACATCCAAGTCATCAACATACATAACAAACTGCAAGGGTCCCAGCACTGATCCCTGTGGTACACCATTGGTCACAGGCTTCCAATCACAAAAACCCTCCACTATCACCCTTTCCTTCGATTTGCAAGCCAATTTTGGAGCAAGCTTGCCAACACGCTTGAGATCCCATAGGTTCTTACCTTTTGGACCTGTCTTCCATGTGGGACCTTGACAAAGGCCTTTCTGAAGTCCATGTAGAACACATCAATTGCTTTAGATTTTTGTTACCTCTTTAGCCACAGGCAAGGCCCCAGAAGACTGTGGAGTAGCCAATGTTGTTCCTTTAAGTGCTCACGGGTAATGGTGAGTTTGGGTTAGGAAATGGCAGCTGTTTTTTGATAAACTAACATTTTCTAAGAATGCAGCATGGGAGACTGGCTAAGAGAGCAGTAGGAAAGTCAAATACAAAGGGAACAAAGGCGTGGTTGAAGGTTTCATGGTTGAGGTCTGAGATAAGGGTCCAATGGTGATTTTACATAGTGGAATTGTGTGGGCATGGTGATTGAGAAGATTAAAAAGTCAATAGATCAGTTGGGATCTGAAATTACCTCACAGAAGCCAGTATCCCTTCACCAAGTCACCCTTGTGCACTATACACTGGCTATAGCCCAGTTCAGAGTCAGTCTCCTGAACTGAGGAGATTCTAATCTCCTGGTTATTTTGGCTATCCAGGGCTTTCCTGATTGGCCGAGGTTAACAACCCCAATCAAGGACTTTGTGGTCAACAAAGTCCGGCTGGTTTCAGTCACTACATGGTCAGTTCTATCAGCCTGGTTTAGTCACAGGATAGATGGAAGTTGGAGTTTTGTTGGGACCCGAGGTGCAGGATTCAGTCTTTCTAAGGTATTAATTGGGGAAAGTCCTTGTGTTGGAAGTTGGACAATTAGTATGACCAATTAGCGACAGCATTGAGGTCAAAAGAGGTGACAATGAAGTCACATCCGTGGTTATCAATGTGCTTGCAGAACCTGATGTCTTCAGATAATATTGCTTCAGGGCAGTTTGTGTGAGAGAAGTCATAAGGGAGTCTCTCCCTCTGACTTGGGACAATAGAGTGGGAACAAACAGGGGCAGTGCCATTGGCTGGACAATCGGGGAGGATGGTTTCATCAGCTAGTCAAAAGCCACAGACCAGTACTGATGGATGATGGGGTGGAGGTTATGTAGCATGGTCACAATCTAATGAAATGTGATTTCTAACTTTGAAGGCCTTTTCAGGCACTGATTGGAGAAATTCAAACATGGAGTTGTGAAAGGTAGATAGGAATATGGAAAGTGGCAAAGGGTTCAAAGATAAGTTTTTGAAAGAGAGGGTGACAGCAGATTTGAAAAGGAGCAGTACCTGGTTATATTAACTAACATAAAAGTCCAGGAAGAGTTGTTGGTTGGTTATCGATTTAGTGGTAGTAGAGTCATATAAACAGGATTTAGGTCTTCTGGTCAAAATGTGACCGTGATGGGAAATAGGAGAAAAAAAGAAGTTCTGGCATGATGTTAATGTTCATTGGGAAATTCATGTTGTAGTAACTTAGTTATTAATGTTCAAATCAGAGGGCATTCAATTCCTACTTGAATTTTTGTTGGTAGTTCTTCACAAAATATGGGATAAAGAACTCCTTACATACACAAGTGAATATAATGTATTCATTGTGGAGATATCATTATGCAGTAAAAAATGAGGCTGGTTGGGTTTTACAGACTGTAACACAAAAGTGCCATTTTGTATCAGAATATATGACATTTGGGCTTTTCAAAATTTTGCTGTTACAACAGTGGCTGAGCAGAATTTCTTCCATTCATTTTCTTTAAAAAATAATTTACCATAGAACTGCTTAATCTACAAGCCTGTGATTCCTTGTACATTTTTTGTGCTAGGAGAGCAGCAAAACAGTGTTTCAACTGAGGAAGAGAAAGGGATGGAAATTTTTTTTTACCTCAAGTAGAGGTGACTTTCTTCAGATGTTATTATAATCTTTCAGTCCAAGGTACATGCGGCATTATGGTTAATTGGCTTTGTTGCATTGTAACAAATTGAGTTATTAGTTTTTGTTTTTCTGCAATCATCTGCCTCCTAAAATGTCTCTCTCATTTTCCCGTAAATTGTTCCTAATTTCTTGTTGCCTCCCAAGCTGTCTTTTGCTGTCTGTTTGGCTCCTAATCCTTCTTACAAATGAGACAAAGCTAAATCCATGGACTTTTCTCATTCTAAATTTGAGCTTGCATTGCATGTTTCTAGTTTTTGGCACTCTCCAATATATGACAGTTCATTTAAGTTTCCTGTACAATATTTCCGCTGAATATTCTACTCTCTAGAGCAACCAATCCTCAGATCTTTAACCTTTCATCACAGATAAGGTTTCCTCAGCTTGGCATTAGGTTGATTGTGTTTTTTGTACCACCATGAGTACTTGCAAAATCTTGCTGTAATGTAGTGATCAAGTAGGACTTAGCATGCAGGCATGTCACAATTCTTTGAGTTATAAGTGGTCTACAGCACAGAAAAAAGTTAGTTGGCTCATTGAGTCTGCACCAGTCAAATACAACCAGCTAACTGTTTTAAACCCATTTCCCAGCACTTGGGCCCATAGCCTTGTTGCTGACACCTATTGGGGATTTTGCTCTTGATCTGTCTATATATCCCCACCCCCGATTAATTACTGCATTGCTGACTTCACTGAGCTCGGTCTGTCTGAACTGCATTGTTGCCTTGAATCAATTCTTTCCCAATCTCATTACCTTGTACATTTTCCCCCATTAAATATAATTTTGTTCTATCTGCCTATTGTTTCAGTTTATCTGGTTTCTGGTACTTGGTGCTTCTGTATTTGGAATATCCACTCCTCATTACTTTTTCTGTAGCTTTCTTTATTGTACTTTTTCAACCCTTAACTGAATTCTGAAGTCTTTCATATTATGCCAGTAAAGATGAATCACTGATAGTAGGAACTGCAGATGCTGGAGCATCTGAGATAACAAGGTGCGGAGCTGGATGAACACAGCAGGCCAAGCAGCATCAGAGGAGCAGGAAAGCTGACGTTTCGGGCCTAGACCCTTCTTCAGACCCTTCTTCTGAAGAAGGGTCGAGGCCCAAAACATCAGCTTTCCTGCTGCTCTGATGCTGCTTGGCTTGCTGTGTTCATCCAGCTCTGCACCTTGTTATCTAGGATGAATCACTGGGTGTTTTGAATCAACAGTCTCTTGAATTTCATTTGCTTAGAAACCTTTGGTCACTGCCAATAAATTATTGTAATTCTACTTTCAGGCTCAGGCTTCATGAAGAAAAGGTTATCAAAGATCGGCGATATCACCTTAGAACCTATCCAAATTGTTTTGTGGCTAAAGAATTAGTTGATTGGCTGCTAGATCACAAAGACGCTACTGACAGGAACATGGCAATCAAGTTAGTGCAGAAACTATTGGACCATAGTGTCATCCATCATGGTATGTTTGCATGAATATCAATCAATTCAAAAGATCATTTTTTTAAATGTCAATGGGTATGCTTCCTACGATAAAAAGTCACATGTAAATTTGGTGAATGTGATTATGAGAAAACCCAATTTTACTTCACGCTACCTTTTTCCATAGCTTTCCTTTCTCTGTCCCAAAATTTTTGCCGTTCCAAGCAGCTAATATTCTGATATAAATAATCTTGATCCGTATGCACTAATAAGTGGATGGTACAGCAAGATTTACACCAAAGTTAAACAATATGACTTTACATTACATGTTTGTGAAGTGTGCAAAGTCAGACTGACCCCATGTCATACCTAGTACGGTCTGTCAGGGCGCTGATGTGTTGTCACACATTGCTCCAACGTGAAAATATTCGAATGTTTATAATACAGTTTTACAGATTGCGGGAAGTCAAATAAAGTGTGTGTTCAAAATAAATACTGAAGTCCACAAGTATCTTTTCACTGTTGACATTGCTCCATCTCAAATGCATCACTTGATCAATGTGAGAAACTGATTGGTTCCTGCTCCACCCGCTCCCGGTTTTAGGCAAAAAAGAATTCCGTTTGCTGTATTCAGTTTTACACCGTGCTGCCCCAAACACAGCTCCACGTTGGGGTCACAGCCAACATTTGTATTGACGGTTCAGGAAATCTCCTGAAGAGTCCTTTTCACACATTGCTCAGTCTGGGATTTAATAAAGGGTGGGTAAATTTAGATTGCTATCAAGTTTGCCTCTTCATTGTCTTCACTGTAAATGCAATAAATAATTAAGTTACTGTAAAGGTGGTGGTTAGTCAAAAGTAGTTAGTAGAACTAAGTAAGTGATGCAAAAGACGTAACTGTTCACATTGTCAAAGGAAGTACATGTCTCTCTCAATACATACTTTTCTTACCTCCAAACAAACTTTGTTTGCTTGAAATGAATTTTGTAAAGATGAGAGTTGCATGTACAGTGTTCTAGGAATCTGATTTCCTTTAATTTGTTAAATGTGGTGTTATTCATGTAGACTTTTTATTACCCCATCACACGTTTAAACTATTGGGAATTCAACATTACAATGTGGACAAAATAAACCACTGCCTCCATATTGTTTTCTTCATTAACCAATCTATAAACCACTTCCTGAACTTCTTATTGTTTCGGAAAACAAAAAATGCTGGAAATCACAGCGGGTCAGACAGCATCCATGGAGAGAAAGCAAGCTAATGTTTCCCTCCATGCTTGCTGCCTGAGCTGCTGTGATCTCCAACATTTTTTGTTTTTGGTACCGATTCCAGCATCTGCAATAATTTGCTCCTACTTCTTATTGTTTCTGCTGGTAACAGCTGTGATCTGGCTATGGTTAATTTGAAAGCAGGATTGATGGGATAAAGTACAGAGTTGATAAGAATCTCCTGTAGATTGCTGCTGGTGTAAAATTGTGTTACATAAAATAAATCATTCCTGAAGCATCCCAGGTATAATGGCCTGGACTTTCTGATGGCCAGTCATTTCTGCAGTGTAGCTTAAAATTTTCGCTTGGGGACTCTGTGGAATCCCCATCGTAGCAGATGTCAAAGAAATTTCTGGGGAAATTGATGATTGGAGAACCCTGTGTTCCCCTGTGCCTGAAACGTTCTGAAAGTATCCATTTAAATCAGACATCAGAGGGTTCCGAGGAAATTAAGTCAATAGTTACTCGGGGAATGTAAGATTTTAAAATATATAGTCGAACTCTGAGTAACAATTCCGACTTTCCAAACATACCTCAAACTACGCTCCCACAGATACTTAACCATGCCCCCCCCCCCCACCCAAGCCTTGGCCCACTATGAGACCTGACCTTACCCCACCTCCTCCAGCCTTCTATGCCCCAGTTCCAACTACCACCACCAGGCCTGGGCCATTTTTCGATTTTAGCATAGAGCGACTGACTGCTTTGATAAATGGGGCATGGTTTGTCCTTTCCCAAAAGTCCAACACTGCAAGGGAGGTGTAGGAATGGAAGTATGGCTGTACGTTTTGAAGGAGTCCCAGTTGGAATCCCCTGTCAGAAATGCAGAGCTCTTTTGTTGCATAATAAAAAGGAGCGGAGAGGCTAGCTGTGTATGACTGTGTATGAAAAATCCAGCCCCATGTTCTCTAATGAAATGGTTCTGACCTGTGCTCCAAAATGTATTAAACCTGAAATTTTCTGTTTTTTTTTTCAGTTTGTGATGAACATAAGGAATTTAAGGATGCCAAACTCTTCTACCGCTTCAGAAAAGATGATGGCACTTTTCCATTGGATAGTGAAGTGCAGGTTTTCACAAGGGGCCAAAGGATATACGAAAAGTAGGTAGATCCCATTTCAGATGGACCTTTTGACCTCTTATTGCCTCATAATAATTGATACTGCTTTATCAATGGCAGCGCTCTCAATCTTCTCAACTTTGAAATATTGTATCCTGATGTATTTGGAAGATGCCAACTGAGGATAGAATCTGATAGGGGTCTGAGCAACATGGGCTATGGTGACAGGTGCTGCAGAAATGGCAAGAATTCACAACCATCTTGTGCCATGTTTTACATTTTTCACAAGCAGTGTGACAAGATTTTCACTATGCTGTGGCGAGATGCCAGTTGACAGGGATTACTGTTTGTTAAATGTCTTGTTAACGCCGCATTAATATTCAGAATCCCATTTCAGTGAACTTGCCAAACAAGCTAGACATTGGGGAAAACTCAACATGGAAACCAGAGCAAGCACCTGGTGGGTTCGGGTCACCACTTGCTCTGAATGATTTCCATGGTGCCTGTGATCAAACTGCAGCCCTGGGTAAGGTACAAGAGCTGCACTCCCTCCTCCTCCAAAGACTTGTTTGAGATGCTGGCCATGCAATCTTGCAGCATTGGATGGCACACTGGCACCTAACGTTGTAAAGGCTGCAGCAGGTACATTTTGTGCACACAGGTCTGGCACCCAGTTCACAGACGACTGGGCTGCATCCCAGACTTGCTCTGTTAGAGCTCACTCACTTAGCGCCAACATGCTTATTCACAGCGTGTCTTCCTTGCTTTATCTTAGTAGCTGTGCCATTCTGTGCCAATTAACGCTCTCACACAACCAGGCAGCTTGCGTTGTTGGTCAGAAGTCCTCAGCCTGGGAGGCAGCGGGGGATGGTGGACATATTGCTGTATGGCAGTGTGTGCTACATGAATCTCACAGCTGTACAATGTACCAGAACCTTACGCAGCACAAACACTGTATGTGCAGCAAGTAGGTAAACTCTATAGGTGGGGGTGTGTCCTCAGTAGAATCCGTGGATGCATTATTTTGTCATTTCTGTAAATGATTTGAATGAGAATTTAGGCGGTATAGTTAGTAAGTTTGTAGGTGACACCAAGATTGGTGGTATAGCGGACAGCGAAGAACGTTATCTGGGAACGCAGTGAGATCTTGATCAATTGGGCCAGTGGGCTGAGGAATGGCAAATGGAGTTTAATTTAGATAAATGCAAGGTGGTGCATTTTGGTGTGTCAAAGCAGGGCAGGACTTACACAGTCAATGGTAGGGCTCTGGGACGTGTTATAGAACAAAGAGACCGAGGTGTACAGGTTCATATCTGCTTGAAATTGGAGTCACAGTTAGACAGGGTAGTGAAGAAGGCTTTCAGAATGCTTGCTTTCATCGGTCAGGGCATTGAATATAGTAGTTTGACATCTTGTTGCAGATGTACAAGATTTTGGTGAGGCCACATTTGGAGTACTGCATAAAATTCTGGTTGCCCTCCTATAGAAAGGATATCATTAAACTAGAAAGAGCGCAGGAAAAATTTACTAGGATTCTACCTGGACTGGAAGGTTTGAGTTACAAAGAGAAGTTGGATAGCCTGTGACTTTTTTCCCTGGATCATAGGAGACTGACGGATGACCTTATAGAGGCTTATAACATCCTGAGAGGTGTTGATAAGGTAAATAGCAAACAGCTTTTCCACAGGGTAGGGGAGTCTAAAACTAGAGGGCATAGGTTTAAGAAGAGAGGGGAGAGATACAAAAGGATCCAGAGGGGCAATTCTTTTCACACAGAGTGTAGTGAGTGTCTGGAGTGGGCTGCCAAAGGTAGCCACGGAGGTGAGTACAATTTTGTCATTTAAGTAACATTTGGACAGGTACATGGATGGGATAGGATGGAGGGATATGGGCCAAACACAGGCAAATGGGACTAGTTTAATTGTGAAAACTGTGTTGCATGAGCATGTTGGGCCAAAGGGCCTGTTTCCATGCTGTAGACCTCTATGACTCTATGAGATAGACCTTAGATGGAGGGCTGGGGACCTGGGTTTAAATCCCGCCACGGCAGATGGTGGAATTTGAATTCAACAAAATATCTGGAATTAAGAATCTAGTGATGACCGTGAATCCATTGCCAGTTGTTGAGAAAAACCTATCTGGTTCACTAATGTCCTTTCGGGAAGGAAACTGCCATCCTTACCTGGTCTGGCCTACATGTGACTCCAGATCCACACCAATGTGGTTGACTCTGAACTGCTCTCTGGGTAATTAGGGATGGGCAATAAATGCTGCCTTGCCAGTGACACCCTCATCCCATGAATGAATAAAAAAAATCTAAACAGGACGGCCAAAGATGCTAGTCGCACACAGAGCCCATGTGCACATATTTTTCCTGCTGACTGTAGCTGACATTGTAAAACCTCAGCCCTCTTATTTGGCCAAGCTGGTGTAGCAATGCATCAAGCACCTGCATAGAGATACTCAAAAGTAAATGCATGAAAGTTATAATCAATAACATTTATGTGCTTTTTTCGACAAACAAGATATCCCTCTTCTCCAAAGTGGCTTCTGTATATTTTTCATCTTTTTCTCCCTCTCAACATGTCTAAGTGTGTTCCCTGCTCTGGTGCAGATGCCATAGGCCCCTGGAGCTTTGGTAACCCTGGGGATGCTTGTATCTAGATTGGCCGGACATGTTGAGAGTCTTTGACTGTCCTCAGCTTGAACTTACAAGGGTCAGTATGGAGTAGAAAGGAGCGGAGGATGGCATGCCCAACTCTGCAGTGTCCTAAGTAGTAATAGTGAGGGGCCTGTGTATGGTTTCACCTCTGGATAGGATGGCCCCTGGTTTCACTGTTGCCTTGTGAGGAGGGGGCCTTGACTTAGACTGGGGTCAAGATTACACAGGATGGCTGTCAGTGCTTAAACATTGCGTGGGGGGGATGATGGTGAGATGCTGCAAAGGATTGACAAAGGGCATGTAGGGTTAGTGTTGTGGGAGGCTAGGGGCAAGAGGGAGGAAGGTGATGGTGAGAGTGGTGGGACATGAGCCTTTGTGGGAGGCATGTGCAGTAGCAGAGAGAGACTGTGTGTGTGAGCCGGCAGAGAGATGAGTGTGGCACTAACCCTGGCTGAGTGCAGAGGATCATTGACCTTCAGCGGAACTGCTGCCTGTTCTTCTGTTCATCCTGGAGATGTCACTGACCCAGGTGGCAAGCTCAGAGCAGGCTTGCAGGGCCTGGTGGCATGGCCTCCTCTCTCAGTTTCCTGGGAAGAGGGCAGAACTTTTCTGAACAATCCCATCCACCAGGACCTCCAGCTTCATGTTGGTAGATTGCAGTGCCATCTTCTCCTTTACCGACATCTTGCAGACATGTCCACAAATGAGAAGGGAAGCCTCAGAATTGGCCAAGTGGGCTGCGGTATTTTCAAGATAGCACAGAAGATGTCAATCTTTGGCTAGATATCGGCTGAGTTGTTGAATTGTGGTAAGATGGGACAGAAACTGGATGTGAGAGACACTGTCAGGTGGGAACAGGCAATTAATGCACAAGTTTGATAAGATAGGGTGAGGAAACTTGCTAGGCCTCATGGTGAAAAACCCTTCGAAAACTAAACACAGCTCAGGCTTGCCAAAAAACATAACATTCAGCTCTGGATGTCTTTTCTAGCAAATTAGAAAGCTGAAAGTGTTCAGGAGGTCAGGCAATATCTGTGAAGAGAGATTTAGAATTACCGTTCCGAGACGATGACCTGTTTGTGAAAGTGTCTCTGTTGTTGTGAGGTTCTTTAACCATCAAGTACATTTCACGTGCAGAGCAAACTAAGTGCTTGATTTTCAATCTAGAGTCAGTAATTAGTGACACGGGTGATTTGATGGTGGTCTTTAAAAAAAGGTCAATCTGGACTCGGAAATACTCCAGTACAGCATTGTTTAAACTCATCATAAACTTCACCAATCTCTCTCTTCGCCTATGTCACCTCATTCCCCCATGTATCCTCTGTTGCCATTCACCTAGATTTCTAACTTGCAGTTCTCAGCAGCCATACAGTGGCAATGAAAGTCATTTTAGTATAACTGGAAAAGCATTGAACAATTTAAGAAAACCCTGCATTCAAACTCAATCTACTGGACAAAAAAAAAATGAAGATAATGTTGTAATCCTTTTATATGCCTATAAATTTTGGAAACAAGCACGAAACCACAGTGAAATCCTATTTTGTTCTGATAGGCTGGTAGAAGCTTCAAAGAGCTTGATTTTAGGAAAGCCAGCCAGCACCTACACACCAGAAAGAAGCCCACGCTGCAGCAATAACAGAGGATGGACAGACTGAGTATGTTTCTGCTGTGGTATAGAACAGTGAGAGGTGTATAAGATCCTAAATGGTCTTAACAAGGTTGGGGTGGGGTGGAGAGTGTGGAAATGATGTTTTCTCTTGTGGGTGAAATAGGGGTCACTGTTTGAAAATTGGGCGTCGTCCTTTCAAGGCAGATGAAGAGAAAACTTTTTTAGAGGGTTGAGCAACTTCGGGAATTAATATTTGGCTTCTCCTGCATGAAATTTGAAACACAGACGCAGCAGTCACGATTTATTGGGGCTGAATGGCTGATTTCTGCTCCGAATTCATATGTTTATGGGCTTACTCCATTCAAATGGGATTTCCACCCCTCAGTGACCCCCAAGAATTGTCAGTCTCTTAGTTTTTCTTATTTTGAAAACAGAACATAAGTACTAAGAACAGGAGTCAATACTTTAGCTCCTTGAGTCTGCTCCGCCATTTAGAACCATCATGGCTGATCTCATCTCAGCCTCCCAACTCCACTTTGCTCTTCATAACCCTTTAACCTATTACTAATTAAAAATCTGTGTTCAATGTCGTTAATGATTTCCAGAAGTTGGGTGAGGTAAGGCGGTAGAGTGGCAGATCAGTGGGCCAGGTATATGGGTAAGGCAGGGAGGCCAGAAGGATGGGTAAGGCAGGAAGTAAGTAAATGAAGAATGGGTAGGTTGGGGAAGAGAGTGGGATTCAGTTTGAAATATGGGAGAGTGTGGTGGAGCTGTTGGGCAGGTCCAAAGTGGGGCAATAGAGTTGGGTCAGGTCATAGAGGGGTATGGCATTAGTTTTCTTCAGGTGGAAGTGGGAGAGAGCTGGGGAGGTGGGTGTGTCAGGTATCAGTGGATGGTTAGAGGGCTGGAAGGTAACTGGTCAAGGAGGGAACTTTTTTGTAGGATTCAAAATGCTGGGTAATTGCCTGTCAGAAGTTTCTACTTCCTGGGTAATTCATAGAGTCAGCTGTGTCAGGATATTTTTCAGCAATGGAGATCATCCTATTCTTCAGGAAGATCTGGGCTGAACCTGAATTAAATCTGAAAATAGTCTAGCAGTGAGTTCTAACTAAAACTTTATACGTAAGTTCCAAAAGGTTAGGAGCTACTGACAAATGGTATTAGCCTAACAAGTGAGTTTGGTTTGGCTTTTCTGTTCTGAATGATTTAACATTTTTAGAAAATGTAGTCTTCTTTCTGACTTTGTTAGTGAGGATACAATAAGTTTCATTTAACAAACATTTTCATTTTCTGTAAATGAAAGAAAGCACAGACTGCTTTTGGTGGGAAAGTGGAAGTATTTTTCATTTTGATTCACATTTGTCATGAACATGAAAAGTATTCTTTTAGTTTTTTTGGCTTAGGAGTTTATTTCTGTGCTGATGTCCTATATTTTATAAATTTTCCTTTCTCCTTCTCCTCCTTTTCCTCCCTTATTTGTCCCTTGTCAAAATTCATTTTGACAGTACAAACAAAGCTGCGGAAAACTAGCAGGGGTCTCTCTTTGCAAATTCCTGCATGCAATGTCTGAAGTTGCCTGTGTTGTTTTTTTTTTAAATAAAATCTTGGGTGCCTGTGCATGAAATCAATAAATTGAAGCTTTAAAATGTTGTCTGTACTTTTATTTACTCAAAAGTATTTCATTGTACATCTCCTTCTTGTATCCAGGTTTTCTAAGTCAACAAATTATAAATGTCTGTCTTTTTTTATACTAGTTGCCACACAAACTGATGAACTATCACCGTACTCAAGGACAATTTATCGTGGCATCCTGAAAGTTCAGTGCAATTTTAAGTTTCGCCTTAGATTGAAGATTGCATTCATATATGGATTTCTGTTTTGTTTCTCTCCTCTCTTGGGTCAGTTGCTGTTTATGTATGCATAGCTATTTTAAACCAAGGGTTGTATTTGTAACTTTGTCACGACAGGTTGATGACCACTGAGAACTATCTAATGCAGACAAGGGAGGAAGAAGGAGTGAAATATCAGCGTGCTTTTGTAGCAAGTGAATTTGTCGACTGGCTGATACAAGAAGGAGAGGTTGCCTTAAGGAGTGAAGGGGAACAGCTCTGTTGTAGATTGCTGGAACATGGCATTATTCAACATGGTGAGAAATTGATTAACTAATTGCCATTTGACATGCAGTGTAAAGCAGTTCTTCCCCAGTGCGGCACAGTGCTGGTGTCCCTGCCCCTGGACCCCGAGGCCTGGATTCAAATCCCACCTATTCCCGAGGTGTGTAATAACTCGCTGAACAGGTCGATTATAAAAACAGGTAGAAAGAATTCGAGCAAATGGTCACTTATCTGTGCACTGCCCCAACCCTGGCCTGGCCTTCAGCTGTTTGTTGATGCATAATAGTTTCATGAAGCTCTCTGTTGAAGTGATGAGGAAGCCCAGCTTGATTTTGATCTCAACCTATGATACAATTGCAATTTGCCAAAGAGTCCCAAGGCTTCCAAATAGAAATTCATCCAGGATCCGTCCTTCCAATTTCTGTTCCACATTACCAGAACTTGTGGCCATTTAATGAAGAGGGCATTTCCTCCTTGCCTTCTGTAATACATTGGTGGAAAAGCAAGAGACACTTGGATGCCAGTATTTACAGAACCAAATGCTGGCATGAATTTGAGCGTAATAAGCAAACAGAAAAACAAAAACACTGTAGGAGTGTGTTGGTGTGTTGACCGGTGCATGTTATTCGCAGCATCTCTTAGTCAAATAGCCGAAATTATGCTGGGAAGACATTTTTATTTTAAATAAATCTTTATTGCATTTTGTCACTTAACAGGATTTAAATTCAGCTTAGAACAACGCAAGCATAACTTGTATAAAATTGTTCCCAAAGCTTCCGACATAATATATAATCCTTTGCTCAGCTTTGCAGGTCTGAAATGTTTTCTCCCAGTCACTTGCAGAGGCATGTGTCAGCAAGTTTTGCAGATGGTGATTCCGTAGCAGTGTCTCAGCATGTCTTGAATTATACTGCCAAGGTCTTAGTGGCTCTAAATGGGCACCTTCAATTAAAAAACACGCCCTATTATTTTTCATTGCACTGTATCAGTTGATCATATGAAGACAATTTCTTGGGCATTCAGAACGGTTGTTACAGGGCTGCAAGTTGAAAGTGGGTTGAAAAGAAGAGATTATAACCATACATAGAGGTTGCAAACAAATTCATTAGAATCAGTAATGATTGGGAGCAAGAACTTTGGCCGATTTTGTTCTCCTGAACTCAGCCACTTGAGGTTTGACATCAGCACTCTGGTACTGGCGAGAATCAAGGACATGGGTTTCCCTGTGGGCTTTTCATCCCAATCCTAGATTGACATGTGGGTCAGATCTTGCGGCCAGTCTCAGGCCTTTGTTGTGCTACTGTGTAACTGCAATCTGAAGAGCTGTTCTGTTTACTTCTTTAATTACTTGGGAGGCTGTCACACAGGGAAATGCTGCCAGTGGGTCCACCATGTCCATTGTGAAAAAATAATTTTTCTCTGCAATCACCAGAATTTGAAGTGTCTAAAGTTGTTTATCATACATAACTTTAGTGTTTGAACTGCAGAAAAGCTTGTGAAGTATTGCTATAAGATTTTAAAAAGTTACTAGTTGTGCTTTTCCCTGAGACAGACTGAGGGCGGGGCTTGTAATCCAATTGGAGGACAGTGAGCAGGCCCTCAAATCTAGTGAGCCAATCAGATGTCTTCCAACTGAAAGGAAGCAGCAGTCTGCAATGGCCGTTGAGTCAGATGGAGCACCAGTGTTTTGAATGTTTTACATAAGAACTAGGAGCAGGAGTAGGCCATCTGGCCCCTCGAGCCTGCCCCGCCATTTAATAAGATCATGGCTGATCTTTTTGAGACTCAGCTCCACTTACCCGCCCACTCACCATAACCCTTAATTCCTTTACTGTTCAAAACTTTATCTAGCCTTGCCTTAAAAACATTCAGCGAGGTAGCTTCAACCACTTCACTGGGCGGGGAATTCCACAGATTCACAACCCTTTGGGTAAAGAAGTTCCTCCTGACCTCAGTCCTACATCTGCTTCCCTTTATTTTGAGGCGATGCCCTCTAGTCCTAGTTTCACCTGCTAGCGGAAACAACCTCTCTGCCTCCACTTTATCTATTCCCTTCATAATCTTATATGTTTCTATAAGATCTCCCCTCATTCTTCTGAATTCCAATGAGTATAATCCCAGTCCACTCAGTCTGTCCTCATAATCCAACCCTCTCAACTCTGGAATCAACCGAGTGAATCTCCTCTGCACCCCCTCCAGTGCTAGTATATCTCTCCTCAAGTAAGGAGACCAAAACTGCACACAGTACTCCAGGTGTGGCCTCACCAGGACCCTATACAGCTGCAGCGTAGCCTCCCTGTTTTTAAACTCCATCCCTCGAGCAATAGCAGACAAAATTCCATTTGCTTTTTTAGTCACCTGCTGCACCTGCAATCCTTCTTTCAGCGATTCATGCACAAGGACACCCAAGTCCCTTTGCACAGCAGCGTGCTGCAATTTTTTAACCATTTAAAACATAGTCCATTTTACTGTTATTCCTACCAAAATGGATGACCTCACGCTTATCAACATTGTACTCCATCTGCCAGACCTTTGCCCACTCACTTAGACTATCTATATCGCTCTGCAGACTTTCAGTGTCTTCTGCACACTTTGCTCTACCACTCACCTTAGTGTCATCTGCAAATTTTGACACACCACACTTAGTCCCCAACTCCAAATCATCTATGTAAATTGTAAACAATTGCAGTCCCAACACTGATCCCTGAGGCACACCACTAGCCACTGACTGCCAACCAGAAAAACACCCATTTACCTCTACTGTTTGCTTTCCACTGGTCGCTTTCTACTGGTCAACCAATCCTCTATCCATGCCAATACATTACCTGTAATACTGTGCAACTTTATCTTATGTAGCAGCCTTTGGTGTGGCACCTTGTTAAATGCCTTCTGGAAATCCAGATACACCACATCCACAGGTTCCCCATTGTCCACCATGCAAGTAATGTCCTCAAAGAATTCCACCAGATTAGTTAAACATGACCTACCCTTCATAAACCCATGCTGGGTGTTCCCAATGGGACAATTTATATCCAGATGTCTTGCTATTTCTCCCTTAATGATAGATTCAAGCATTTTCCCCACTACTGAAGTTAAGCTAACTGGCCTAACCTGGTTTTAAAGTAAAAAAGAGGGTTTTTCAGCCATGACACTGCACGGTGGGGTAGGAATAGGTCTACAGGGTAACGTGTCACTGTTGCTGCACCCACGCCTATTTGGATCCCTGTACCCCTGTCTGCAGCCTAAGAGCTGCCTCCAAACAGTTGACAACCTCCTCAATGATGGCTCAGTTCCAGAATTGTGCAGTTACCTTTTCCCTTCTGGTTTTTGCTCTACCAAGATTGAGTCAGAGTTAAAATTTGCAATATTGTATGTAACATTTGCCTTCACACCCCCTCCCCGCAATAACAACCAAAACAGAATCCCCCTCGTCCTCACGTACCACCCCACCAACCTCCGGATCCAACGCATCATCCTCCGACACTTCCGCCATCTGCAATCCGACCCCACCACCAAAGACATATTTCCCTCCCCACCCTTATCTGCTTTCCGGAGGGACCACTCTCTCCAGGACTCCCTTGTGCACTCCACACTCCCCTCCAGCCCCACCACACGCGGCACTTTTCCCTGCAACCGCAGGAAGTGCTACACCTGCCCCTACACCACCTCCTTCACCCCCATCCCAGGCCCCAAGGAGACTTTCCACATCAAGCAGATGTTCACCTGCACATCTGCCAATGTTGTATACTGTATCCGCTGTTCCCGTTGTGGCCTCCTCTACATCGGGGAAACCAAGCGGAGGCTTGGGGACCGCTTTGCAGAACACCTATGCTCGGTTCGCAATAAACAACTGCACCTCCCAGTCGCGAACCATTTCAACTCCCCCTCCCACTCCTTAGACGACATGTCCATCCTTGGCCTCCTGCAGTGCCATAATGATGCCACCTGAAGGTTGCAGGAACAGCACCTCATATTCCGCTTGGGAACCCTGCAGCCCAATGGTCTCAATGTGGACTTCACAAGCTTCAAAATCCCGCCCCCGCTCCCCACCGCATCCCAAAACCAGCCCAGCTTGTCCCCATCTCCCTAACCTGTCCTTCCTCCCATCTATCCCCTCCTCCCACCTCAAGCCCCACCCCTATCTCCTACCTACTAACCTCATCCCGCCCCCTTGACCTGTCCGTCCTCCCTGGACTGACCTATCTCCTCCCTAACTCCCCACCTACACTCACCTTTACTGGCTCCATCCCCGCCTCTTTGACCTGTCTGTCCCATCTCCACCTATCCTCTCCTCTATCCATCCTCTCTCCCCCTCCCCCTCTCTCCCTATTTATTTCAGAACCCCCTTCCTCTTCCCCATTTCTGATGAAGGGTCTAGGCTCAAAATGTCAGCCTTCCTGCTGCTCTGATGCTGCTTAACCTGCTGTGTTCATCCAGCTTTACAGCAGACAGAAGCCCAGTTGCTATTCTCTAAAGCAGCTGAATTTAAAATTTACAACTGCCATTGTGATGTTGTTTTCATGGCAGGATTTTTGATTAATTTTAATTAGGATTGAATGGGGCTGGGATGTGGATGCGTTTCTGGAGAATCTGCTACAATTAGCTGTCCATGTGCAAAAATGTGATTTTATACAATTGTCAGACAAGGATATGTGTGTAAAGTTGACTCCAGCCTGGTTGAATGCTGTTAGAGGAGGGAGAAAGACATTTAGGTGAGGTAGCGGAGCTGAAAAAGAAGATTCCTTCGTAATTGATTGAAGCAATATTTGCGATGACAAAACAGATGTGTGGCCAGCAGCTCATTTTTGTGACAAATGTGACAGCAAGTTTCGGAAAGATAGAGGGGGTGTGGGTCAATGGTGTTTGTGGTGGAGTCTGGAGGCAATAGAGGAAATGTCTTCTTCTCGTTCAGTGTTGGATATTGGACAGTTTCTTGCAAAGTATGCTTTTATATGTATATACATATATAAATATTGCTGTTTGCAACCAAACAAAAAGTTATGATTAGGTCTTAAATTCATTCAGTTTTGAATTGATTTTGTAAATACACAGCCTTTGATCTTCAAGCATTTATTCTCAGTTGTGCAATGTATGTCTCTAAACAAAATACTTGAAATGTTTACATGTAATAGGAAAAGTAAGGTACATGGTGTAATTAACTGGAATTGTCTAAATCTTACCAAGAAATTTCCATAATGATGATGTTCAGTCTAGAACTACTAGACTGAAGCTTTTGCAAAAAGAGTCATTTTAATATTTTTCTCCTGTTGTGCCTTTGTGGCTATTGCTTTGTCAATTGTCCTTTCAGAGTTCAAATTGCGTTGTTTGACAAACAGCCTGTGTATTTACCAGCGCAATTAATTCCTCCACTTTCACCATCCTGTTTATCCTTTCTCACTATTCTGTACACAGTGGCCAACAAACACCGCTTTGTGGATGGTAACCTCTTGTACCAGTTCCGCATGAACTTTCGCAGAAGGCGAAGACTGGTGGAGCTGCTGAATGAAAGTGTGTCCTTGGCACCTGACAGTCATGAAAGCCCTTTCTGTTTACGCAAACAGAATCCTGACAACCCTAATACCAGCTTCCTCTCAGGTAAAAATTATTTACTCTAAATTTCCTCTGATTTATTGATCTATTTGGTGTTCCACAATAAATGCTTGTGCTACATTTTGGGAAGTTGGTTTAGGCAAGTAGTCTCTTTCATGAACCTTCAGATTAGTTGGGCTTCCAAAATGCATGCTGGTATCAAAAATATTCACTTTCATTGTTTCTTTTCCTTTCCTCTTTTTTGGCCCTTTTGCATAACCACCCTCCCAGCTCCCTGTGATCTCCCCTCCCATACTACACTATCTGATGATAAAACAGTGTGCTGTCTGCTACTCTGGTGAATGAAGAAAGTGGGCTGCGTCTCCCAAAACAGGGTCACGATTTTAGTTGCTAAAGTAAAATTTTTCTTATACGCAGATGGACTTGCACGCAAAGAAGGCATGGAGTGCTCTGGTTACAGTATACAAAGCAGCTGTTATCAGCGTGTCACGCACACTGTGAAAGATATCCCAGATTCAGCATCTATCACTTATAAATTGCTTGTGGTAAATCAATCTTATATTAGGATGATTGAAAAGCTAATAAAATAAAATTTTCTTTTCAGTCACATTCTGCTTGACCATTGACTGTCTAATAATTTCTCATCTACCAACTGCTGCTTCTGTGAATTTAAATTTGGTTGTAAGGATTGTTTTCTTAGTTGCTGCTTTCATGAATTTAAGTTTAATGAAGCATTCTTCCATTCTTAAATGTTTGAAAATACATTTGGTTTTTGTTGTGAGAATGGGAGTAACATCTCCCATGAGAAAGCTTGAAGAAGAGAAGTGCCATTTAACACCCCCCCCAAAGTCTACTGCTTTTCACACACAGAATCCACTATAGTGCAGGGTCTAAAATGTTAATTGAACAAACCTTCAAAGCATTTGTGAACAGCAGATTGCAAGATTGAATTAGAAAAATGTAACTTTTTTTGTAGTCTGGCAGCAGAAGGAATATTTGACGTTGGTATAGTTCTGTGGCCTCTTACTTGCCCCTTTCCATGCTTTAGTAAAGGTTCTTTAACTTCAGATTATTGAGAAATGATCTCTGAAGCGACGTGGCAAATGATTCAAGGGAGCAGTAAAGCTTATGTAACCACACCAGCCCAGCCCTACTCTGAATCTGAACTCATGGAATACATTTACTGTTGTGAACCATACAGACCAATTCTTCATCTCTTATGGGATTGCTTATTTGGAACATGGATGTTACTGTTATCCTTGGTGCCTCTGAGGAAAGGGGAATATCTAGAGTTCCCACAATGTCTAGGTTACACAACATCCCAACTTGATCCTGCATTACTGTTTGTTTAGAGCCACTGTATCAAAATGGTTGTGATCTGCATGAAGCTATACATTATTCCCAAGGATAGCAGCTGTTCAACAAAGAGGTTAAACTAGGGAAAGTCCAAGGGGTTGTGAATATTTTAGGAACCAGCAAAAAATAACTAAAAAGCTTTAAAATAAGGGAGAAAATTGATAAAGAAAGTAAATTAACAAGAAATGTATTTTAAAAAGTTTTCCTGTGGGTACACAGAAAGAGAGTGCTAAAGTACACATGGGACTCTAGGAGGATGTGATAGGGGAATTGACAACAGGGATCAGGAAATTGTAGGTAATTTAAACCAATATTTTGCATCAGTCTTTACCTGGAGGACATTGTAAACATCCCAAGGATATCAGATAAGCAAGGTGTTAATGGGAGAAAAGGGTCTTGTTAAAGTCTCCATTACAAAAGAAAAAGCATTTGACAAATTAATGGGACTAAATGCATAAGAGTTGCCAGGACCTGATGCATCCAGGATTCTAAACATGGCTGCAGAGATAGTGGAGGCATTGATTGGAATATTCCAGGACACACTGGATTCCAGAGGGTTCCAGTGGATTGGAATGCAGCTAATATGCCAGCGTTCAAGAAGGAAGTGAGACATAAAACAGGAAACTATATGTTAGTTAGCCTAACATCTGTTGTTGGGAGAATGTACATTATTAAGGAAGAAATTACAGGACAAATAGAAAAGATTAACACAGTCAAACAGACTGAATACAGTTTTATGAAAGGGAAAGCATATTTCACAAATTTTCTGAAGTTCTTTGAGACCATAACAAGCAGAGTTGATAAAAGGGAATAGGTAAATGTAATATATTGGGAATTTCAGAAGGTATTCCTAAGGAGCCCCATAAAAGGCATGGTTTTGGAGATGATATATTTAGCATGGATTGAGGATTGGTTAATACGCAGAAGATAAAGAGTTGGAACGAATGGGTATGTTTCAGGTTGGAAAGTCATAACTGGTGGAATTCCAAAAAGACTAATCATAGAGACTCAATTCTTTACCATCAATATTCTTGACTTGGAGGAAGGCGGAGTGTAGTGTATCCAAATTTGCTGATAATACAAAAATAGATGGGAGGGCATGGTGTAATGACGTCATAAGGAGTTTGTAAGGAGATATAGGTAGGTTGAATGAATGGGGTTAAACTTGGCAGATACGGTTTAATGTAGGAAAGGGTGGGTAGAAGAATCAAAAGGCAAGACCTTTTGAGGGACCCAACCAGACTGCAGTGTAGAGGAACCAGGGTGTTCTTCTGGATGAAGTACAAAACGTTAACATGCAGGTGAGCAAATGGAATTTTGGTCTGTGTTGCTGCGGGAGGTGGTTGTAGTGGAGTTTAAAACTAGAGAAGTTTTGTTTCAACTGTACAGGGCATTGGTGAGACTGCACCTGGTATACTGTGTACAGTTTTGGTCCATGAATTTAAGGAAGTTCAAAAGAGGTTCACCAAGCTAATTCATGAGGTAAAAAAGGTTGATTTATCAAGAATGCCTAAACAGATCTGGCCTTTATTCTATAGAGTTTAGAAGAATGAGGGGTGATTTTATTGAATATTTTGCAAAGGCTTGACAGGGTAGATATTGAGATCTTTCCACTCAATCGGGTAATCTCAAACTGGGAATCATGGTTATAGAATATCTCTAAAACTGAGATCTAAAGGAATTTCTTCCCCCAGCAGGTAGTGAATATCCAAAATTTTCTAACAGTAGTGTCGTGGAGGCTAGATCACTGAAAGTATTTAAAGAGGAGGCTGATAGATTTTTGAAATGGTACTCTAGACAGTATTTCAAAACAAAAAGAAATAAAAGGAATAGCAATCATAAATTGTGTTTTAGACATTACACGAAAACTTTTAAGATGCAATGTGAATAAAACAGGAGAGATTAAGGATATATTCAGGTATATAACCCAAATATGTATACTTATACAGTCAGAGTATAAAGATCAAATTAGAGTTGTACAGCACAGAAAGAGACCCTTCGGTCCAACTTGTCCATGCCGACCAGATATCCTAAATTAATCGAGTCACATTTGCCAGCATTTGGCCCATACCCTGTGAATCCTTCCTATTCATATACCCATCCAGATGCCTTTTAAATGTTGTAATTGTACCACCTCCACCACTTCATTTGGCAACTCATTCCATACACACATCACCATCTGTGTGAAAAAGTTGACCATTAGGTCCCCCTCTTTCCCCTCTCTTCTTTATCTTATGCCCTCTAGTTTTGGACTCTCCTAACCTAGGAAAAAGACCTTGGCTATTCACCCTATCCGTGCCCTTCATGATTTTATAAACCTCTATGAGGTCACCCCTCAGTCTCCGTTCCAGGGAAACTAGTCCCAGCTATTCAGTCTTTTCCTATAACTCAAACCCTTCAACCTCGGCATCATTCTTGTAAATCTTTTCTGCACTCTTTCAAGTTTGACAGCATCTCTCCTACTGCAGGGAGATCAGAATTGAATGAAGTATTCTAAAAGTACAGCCACAACATGACATCCCAACTCTTATACTCAAAGCACTGACCAACAAAGGCATGTGCCAGACACCACCTTCACTACTCCATCTACCTGTGATCCCATCTTCAAGGAACTGTGAACATTCACCCCAAGGTCTCTTTGTTTGGCAACACTCCCCAGGGCTCTACTAATAATTGTACATGTCCTGCCCTCATTTGTCTTACCAAAATGCAACAGCTCACATTTATCTAAATTAAACTCCATCTGCCACTCCTTGGCCGACAGACCCATCTGATCAAGGTCCCATTATACTCTGAGATAACCCTCTTCACTGTCCACTATACCACCAATTTTGGTGTCATCTGCAAACTTAACAGGTGCAAATTCAACTTAAAGGTTGTGACATGGTAACATTATTGAGATATGACATCAAGGTGGTCTCCACTAAAGGCTGATCAAAGTTTTCAAGATATTAAGGGCAATGGACGAAATAGATAGAAGAAACCATTTGTGCTGGCTGGTGAGTCTAGAACTAGGGGCATTATCTTAAAAATTAGAACCAGACTCTTAAGTTGCACAATTTATGAAGTACTTCTACAAGCATGGTGTAATAAATGTTTGGAGCCAGCTTCTACAAATTGCAGTTGATGCTTCATCAGTTATTGATTTTAATATCTGAACTTGATTTCTAAACAATATGGTGCAAAGGAGCTAAGTCACAGATCAACAGTGATCTTATTGATCTGGCAAGGAGAACAAGCCTAAAGGGGTGAAATGACCGACACCTGTTCCCACATTCTTGGGAACAGCTGCAGAGGGAAATACGTTCCAGACTGTAGGATGAGATCTATATCTAGAGATGCATTTTTTTTTAAGTGCGTGAACCCTGACTATTTCCACAGGCCCATGCTGTGACACTAATTCAACAGCTCCTTACAGTTGAATTAGATTGGGACCCTTTAACCTGGAGTGGACTGAAATTTGAACTTGTGATTTTTTTTGTTTGAGAACATGCTAAATAGTTCCCTGAAACTTACACGACTTTTATAACGTAAAAACAAACCAGAATCCCCTACGGAATTGATAGAGTAGCCAGCGATGTTTTTTTTAAACTTGGCAAGTTGGTGAAGTTCTACTGAAAACTCTATTGTTTAACGTGACATATGATCTCTTACAGTGAGCCCGACAAAGGAAATCAAGATTGGTTCTGCAGTTCGGAGGTGTAGCATGAGCAGTAGCTGTGGTAGCAGTGGTTATTATAGCAGTAGCCCCGCTCCCAGCAGCAGCCCTCCTCTGTTGTCCAATCCAAAGTCTGGTAAGGGCTGTGACCGTGTGGAATTGCTGACAGTACTGTGTAAGAAGTCACAAATCACAAATTTCTTCGATTTGCAGCTATAGTTTTAAAGGGGGATGAAGTGCATGACATAGTCTATGATTTGTTCATCTTCTCTATGCGTACTGTTATAGTGAAATGTTGACTCTTCTAGTGATTGACTTCCCGCCCCCACCACCGGTTCTTCAGTTCTTTATATAGAATGGTACAAGTGCCAATTCAGTCCCACATCACGGAATTTTGCTTTTTATGAGGACCTGAGTGGATGTCAGTGATTAAAGCAGTGAGCACTCAGCCAAAATGATCAAGAAGTTTTTTTTTTAAAATGAAAGGCAGTTAACGTTCCCACAATAAGGTCTGGAATATTGCACCACAGGCAACGTTAAAGAATGTGTGTCCAAGACACATGCACACTGCCTCGTTGACACAGTTCTGACAAGTCTGCATATCATTACTGAAGTTTCCTTTTGAATATTTTTTTTAAAAAATCAGTTGAAAACTAATGATGTGAAACTCAATCTGCTTTCTTGACATTCAGTTAATTTGTAACATTAAAATTAGACAAGTTAATTTGTTTCCTGAGGGAAAAGTCTATAAAGGACAATGATGAGTTCCACTGTATTTGTTGCTACTGATGCTAAATTGGATCAATCTGTTTACAACTATCACAATTCTTCCAAATATAGACTATGCTTTTTCAACAAAATACCAGAGGATACATCAGCATATCATAAATGTCTCATAGAATTTGAAGAAAATGCAATCTGACTGTGGTTCAGAGCTAAAGCTATTATGCAAAAACTGCCTGTTGTTGAATTACTTAATCTCAATAACTCACACTTGAAAAACTTTATTATTAGCTGCTGCTTGCTCTAATATGTTTTAATCTTGAACAAGGTTTTTTGTTTGTCTGGTATAATTCTGTTCTTCAACAATCTATTTTCTTTAGTCACTATTAATTCTCACATTAATGCAAGAATCTACCCTTAGGCCCCTTTTCTTCCTCATTTACCTGCTGTTCTTGTTAAAATGAAACTTTGGGTTGTACCCAAAGGCTGACAATGCCCAACTGTATTTCATCACCACTTCTGTTGACCCTTGCGCTGTCTCTAAATTGTCAGGATGATTGTCCAGCATCTGGAACTGAATGTGCAGAAATTTCTTTCTGTCTAATACTGGGAAAACCATTGTATTTGGTCCTGCTAAAAACTCCATTCTATGACCACTATCTTCTTTCCTCCCATTGATAACTGTCTGAAGGTAACAAGACCATTTTTAAACTTTGTGTCATCTTTGACTGAGAGGTGAGCTTCTCATTATGTATCTTCTCTTTCAGCAAGACCACCTACTTCCAACTCTATATCATTACCAATGCTGCCCCTATCTTCTCTTCTGCTGAAACTGCATCTATGTCTTTACTATCTCTATTACAATGCTATTCTGTACAATTTTACTTCTTGCACCCCACACATAACTCAAACTTATCCAAAATTCACCTGCCTGTATCCTGAATCTAACCAAGTCACCACCTGCTCACTGACTTACATTGGCTCCCAATGCAAATTCATTTTAAAGATTCTTCTCCAGCTGCTTAGCTCTGCAATTTCCTCACCAAAATCTCTTTGTCTGCACTTCTGTCTGCACTTCTAAAATTCTCCATTTCTTTAAACAACTTCTGGTCATTTGTTAATGTCTCTTTATGTGGTTTGTCTGGTTTTGTTTGTTGTGCCTTGTACAAGCCTGGTCAATACAAAGATTCTTGGGCACCATTAGCCTATATTTTGAAATTTTTTTAATTGAGCACTTGTATTAGTGAAGTTTGAATTTTTCAGGTAATTCATCGTAATGAATGAAACAAATGAATCTTTTCGTTCTCACATAAGTTGTTTTAAAAGCACCTTCTTAAACCCCTCTCTCTGCCTACCTCCACCTTTGCTTCCAGCAGGAAGTGCAACCACCTCATGGACTGCTTTGTTACTAAATCCGAGGTATTATGATAAGCTGCCTTTGCTATGTCACTCCCTTCCACTAGCCCGCCAGTCTAAACTTTCTTTATTGCACATCCTGTCCTAATCCTGGTCTTTCATCTCTTTCCAGTTTTTTTTCCCTTCCTCCTCGCATGCCATCTCTGAGCTTGTCCACTTCATGAGACCCATCTCCTGTTTCATTCATCCTATTCCCATTAAACTAATGATCATCCAATTTATATTCCTGGTCACCATGTTCGCCAATATGGTAAACTGTTCTCTCTCTTCAAGTGTTGTCCCTTTGGTTTTCAATCTGAATGTCGTCCCTCATCCTCAAAGAACACACTTGACCCCTGCATCCTTTCATACTCTCATCTCATCCGCTAAGTTTCTGAACCTCCCAAATCCATTTCCATCTTTCCCAGAACTCTGTTTGAATCCCTACAATTAGGTCTCCACCCTATCACAGTATGGAGACTGCTGTGATCAGAGTTTAAAAATAACATCCTATGCGACTGTGACAAAGTAAAATCTTCCTCCTCATCCTTCAAGCTGTAGTGCAGCCTTTGACCTGGTGACTATATCACCTTCCTCCAATGCTCCTCCGTTGTTGTGCACCTGGTTAGGACTGTATTCACCTTGTTCCATTCTTATCTGATTGTAAACAGAGAATCACTTACAAAGAAGGGTCACTGGGCTCGAAACGTTAACTCTGCTTTTTCTGCACAGACGCTGCCAGACCCCCTGAGATTTTCCAGCAATTTGTGTTTTTGTTTCAGATTTCCAGCATCCACAGTTCTTTCAGTTTTTTAATCACTTACAAAGCTTCTGTTCATGCCACTCTGTCCCTGCAGTGTAGGTCCTTGACTCCCTCCTATTTCACATTTATATGCTTGCATTTGACAACATCATTCAAAGACAGTGTTAGTTTTTTTGCGGGTATGCTGATGACACCCAGTTCTACCTCATCAGCACATCTCTCAATTACTCTACTGTTGATTAATTCAACATCCAGTACTAGTTGAGCAGAAACACCCTCTGAGTAAAGATTGCAAAAATTTAAGTCATTGTTTTCGGTACCCAATCCAAATTACTTACCCTCATTACTAACTCCAATTCTGTTCCTAGTCTGAGTTTAAATTACGTATAATCTGTTCACATAACATTTGGTGTCACATTTGATCTTGATCAAGCTCCCAACCACACCCACGACATCACTACAACTGGCCACTGCAACCTTTAATATTGCTCAATTTTGTCTCTTGTCTCACCTCAGCTGCTGTCAAAGTCTTTGTCTCCTCTAGATCTGACTGTACCAACACATTTCTGGATTGTCTCCCATGTTCTACCCTCTAAGCTTGAGATCTTCCAAATTCTGCCAGAGACTTAACTGGCAGCAAGTCTTATTTCTCTCCCCTCCCTGTGCATGCTGACCTGAACTAGTTCCCGGTCAAGCAATGTTTTCATTCAAAATTTTTATTCTTGGTTTCAAATCCCTCTAGGGCTCTGTGTCACCCTAACTCTGTGATCTCCTCCAACCTCACAACCTTCTGAGTGATCAGTGTTCCTCTAATTTTGATTTTAATTTCTCCACCATTGGTGGCCGTGTCTTCAAGTTGCCAAGGCCTTGGAATTCCTTCAGTATGCCCCTCCACTTTGCTTTCCACCTTTAAAGCACTTCTTAAAGTGCACACTGTTACCAGACTGTTGTTTAGCTGAACTAATGTTTCTCTTCTGTGGCTTGGCATCATACTTTGTTTTGATAATGCTCTTGTGCAGTGCCTAGGACATTTCATTATGTTAAAGGTACAATTGAAATTTTAATTGTCACTGCATTAGAATAATGTCTAAACAAATAATAACAAAAAGAAAGACTGATTTCCTCTCATAATCCTGACTAAAGAATTGTTCTAGTTGTAATTGTGGCTGAACTGAGCAGTTAAAGTGAATTGAAGACAGTGGGTTGTGAATTACATTTACAGCTTAAGAATTCTGCATTTTGTTTCAGTTTTAAAGAGATCTGTAACGACCGAAGAGCTCTTAGCTCCTGGGGCACCCTACACGAAGAAGACACTTACAGTAAGTCTGAGCTTTAAATTGTCTTCCTTCCCCAATCTGTTGCACTTTGCAGCGATTAACCGAGTACAGTTTCAGAGTTATGATATAGTTTCACTTGGTTACAATTGAATAGTGTTGCATTCTCGAGATGCTTAAACTTGCTGAAATAAAAGCCCAGTTTACACTTGAGTGACTTGTCCTCTTTGAAAGTATTAAAGAGGCTCATCAAACCAGACTTTTTAAGATCTATATTTAGTTTATTGCAAAGATAGTCACTGCATTCAAAAATAAGAATTTTGTGAATACAGAAGCCAGTTTAAACATTGGAAATTTGTTTTTTGAAAGCGAACTTTGGATGCGATTTTAATATGCCTGTTTATTTTAAAGTTTTGCAAAACTGGCTTGTTTTCAGATTGTGGGTGATGCAGTTGGCTGGGGATTTGTCGTACGTGGAAATAAACCATGCCATATTCAAGCAGTGGATCCCAGTGGTCCTGCTGCCATAGCTGGAATGAAGGTAATTTTTCTTTCCTCTGTAAAGCACAGTAAGTACGGATGACCAAATGTTGACTCGTTCTGTCAAAAATATGGGCATTTCTTTCCAAGGTTGTGCTTTTTCATTGAAGGTGTTAGCTGCAGCCTAAAGATTTCCTAAGGCTCAACACGTACAATTGTATGGTACAATTTTCATGGAGTTCAGAAACTCAGACTTTTGAATGTTCACATATGCAGATCTTTGGAAGTTCAGAGCAAGTGAATAAGACTGTTTAAAGATATGTATAAGAACTTCTGCTATGTAAATACAGCTGGAGAATGAAAATCAAGGAATTTATGGCAACCCTTTTTCATTTCCTGGTTAATGCTTGGCTGCAGTCAAACAGTATTTCTCATGAACACATGTAATTGGCCATTTATCATTACAGTATAGGGTAGGTCTGAGTGGGAAGCTCTTTGGAGGGTCGGTGTGGACTAGATATGGGCCGAATGGCCTGCTTCCACCCTGTGTAGGAATTTTATGACTCTATTGAAATCCTGCACACCCTCTAGTTACACAGACTTACAGTGGCTCTCAAGGGAACTTAAGGATGGGTTGTAAATGCTGGCCTTGCCAATGACACTCTCACTCCATCAATGAGTAAAATAAAGGTAAATATTTCATGCAGAACGTACAGCCCTGTGAAATGATCAAGGTTTGTCATTACAATTTAAAGAACATTGTTTTTATGTACCCTTCAATGCACTGCACTCTCAAGAAATCACAGAAGGGTTACAGGACAGAAGGGAGCTATTCATCCCATTGTTTCTGTACTGGCCCTCCAAATAACCGCCATGACTTCTTCTCCTGCCTTTTTCCCCATACCTTTGCACGTTGGATAATCATTTACATAGAGCAATATCCTTTTGAATGCCTCAATTGAACCTGCGTCCAGTGCACTTCTAGGCAGTGGATTCTAGATCTGAATTGCTCATTACTGGGTGAAAACCTTTTTCTTATCTTGCATTTGAATCTTTTGCAAATCACTATAAATCTAAGCCCTCTCATGTCTGGATCTTCTTCCAAGTGGGAACTGTTTCTCTCTATCTACTCAATCCAGCCCTTCTCGATCTTGAAGACTTGTATCTAGTTTCTTCTTCGCTGTTCTTCTGTCCAAGGTGAAGAGACATAACCCCTTCAATCTGTGCTGTCTCCAAGGAGAATGATTCCACACTTTTCAATTTATTCTTATGACTATAGTTGCTCATCATTGGAACTATTCATGTAAATCTGTTCTGCCCTCTCTTCAGTGTATTCACATCCTGTAGTGTGCACCCAGGACTGTACACAACACTACACTTAAAGTTTAACCAGTTAGTTATGCAGGTTCAGCCTTACTTCCTTGCTCTTGTACTCTTTGCCCCGATTAATCAATCCAAGGATGCTGTATGTTTTATTAACTGCTCTCTCTGTTTGTCCTGCCACTTCAATCATGTGTGCACATATACTCCCAAGTCCCTATGCTCCTGCACTCCTTTTTGAATTGTAACTGTGAATTATATTGTCTGTCTGTGTTTTACCTAGAAAATGCGTTAGTAGGTCAAAAGAAGCTGTTATATAAAGTATATGTCTCATTTGAAGGCTACAAATTGGGAATATTATTAAGTAAGTAGTGGGCTCATTCAAATGCCAGCTAAGAAAACTTAGGAACTGCAATGAATATGTTCATGAAGAAAACCCTATTTAATCTATACTATCATGGACAGACAATGTATGCAAGGCGTCTTGCTCTTAATGTAACTAGTGTTTTTGCCTTGCATTGCTCAGAATCAATGCACTGTTTTATAAAATGTTGTGCCATATAACACAGAATGCATTACTCTATTTGTATTTTGAAGCTGCGTAGCCTTAAGCTCATAACGTCTCATTTGATTCATAACTGGTCGGAAAACTTTGCAAATTTACTGTGCTCATCATTCACGCCTCAGCCAAAATTGCATATATTTTTAAATTGGTACTGATTTTAAACATTGTGTGACATTTGTACACTTAATATTCCTGTCAGATGTTCTATGGTGATGCAGATTTAAAGGATATCCTTTTCCTGTCGTGATGGAAGTGTTCTGAATGTCCAGTGCCATGGCTAAGATTGAAATTGGAATGAGAAATGTGTTGGGGAGGAAATTAATTATTTTTAGTCACCACCTCGGAAGGAATCAAGAGAAAAGAAAAATATGAAATGACGGCATGAGATAAATAAATAATGAGGGGAAGGAGTAACTAATGAGAATGAAGTAAATGTATATTTTCTTTTGAGCTTTCGGAACATCATCTCTGCTGAGATTGAAACTTTCGATAGCTAGCCGTACCTTTCCACCATCTTTCTCAGGCCTAACATTGCTTCTGTTTTATCAGACTTGGAGTTTTTGAACCTCTGTTTTCTGCAGCTCAATGTTGCCTTCAGCTTAACTTTGTAACCTTATTAGTGATTGAGTTCCCTTTGCTGGTCACTGTTGAGACTGCAAAAGATGGTTTGGAACTTCAGTGTCCCATTTAATCCAAAGCACAACAAATTCTCTCCATTACGGAGACAATCTGTTTCTCCTCCTGCGATAGCCCCAGCTACACCTATGCAGACACAATAATCATAAGACCATGAGACATAGGCGCAGAATTAGACTGTTCGGCCCATCAAGTCTGCTTGCCATTCTGTCATGGATGATACATTTTTCAACTTCATTCACCTGCCTTTTCCCCATAACCCTTAATCCCCTCACTAATCAAGAACCTATCTATCTCTGTCTTAAATCTTCTCAGTGACTTGGCCTCCACAGCTCTTTGTGTCAATGAGATTCACAGATTAACCACCCTCTGGCTGAAGAAATTTCGCCTCACCTCAGTTCAAAAGGGTTGTCCCTTCACTCTGACACTGTGCCAAAGTTTTGGTCTCCTTACTTCAGGGAATATATACTTGCCATTGGAGAGAGTGTAGTACAAAACCTATGCTTTAAATTTAAAACCTAATCTCATAAATCTTACAAGATTCTTCAAGGGCTTCACAGGGCAGTTGCTGGATAGACAATCCTCCTGACTGGGGCCATAGTCTCAGAATAAGAGGTAGACCACTTAGGACAGAGGTAAGGATGAATTCCTTGTGAATCCTTATCATCTCAGCTTCGCAACAAGGATGGCACGATAAGTGGCAACTGGTAAATTTTTTGCTGTCCTCATTTGAGTGCGTGTGACAATAAACCTAATTCTAATTCTAATCTCCACCCCAGAGGGTTGTGCAGTTTCAGTCATTGAGTATATTCAAGACAAAAATCAATAGATATCTAGATAGTAAAGATGCCAAAGGATATGGGGCATAGTGTGGGAAAATGGTATTGAAGCAGAAGGATCAACAAGGAGCAGGTTTGATGGGCAAAATGGCCAATTTCTGCTCCGACTTACAATGTTTTCCATGATTAAAATACAAAGGAGAAGCATAAGTCATTCTGCTATATGAATCCTAGTTAGACTGTTGCTGGAGCCCTGAGAACAGTTCTGACTACTAGATCTGAGCAAGGATATATTGGGCTTGGAGTGAGTTCAGTGTAGATTTACTAGAATGATACCTGGACTCCAAGGGTAAAGTTACGAGGAGAGATTGCACAAACTCTGATTGTAATTCATGGAAATTGGACAGGTACAGAGTTATTTCATTGAAGTTTTAAGGTATTACTGGGAAACGATAGGGTAGACAGAGAAAAACAATTTCTGCTGGTTGATACATCTTGGACTAGAGGGATTATCTAAAATTTGGAACCATATCTTTTGGAAGTAAAATTAGAGAACACTTCTGCGTACAAAGGGTGATGGAAGTTTTACAGTCTTTTTCACCAATGGCAATTGACACTAGATCAATTGCTAATTTTACATCTGAGACCAATACATAATGAAAGAGGACAAAGCTTTGGGAGCAATTTAATGATGATCCAATTGAAAGATGGAACAGGCAGGAGTGTTGAAATAGCTTCCTCTTGTTCCTCTTTTCTACATTGCAGCATTGTGGAAACTCTATTTTGAAGATTGTGATACCGAGAACACTGGTAAAAATGAAAAAGCGAGTTTAATTGTGTCCAAGCTATGATCAGCAACTTTGACAGAAAGAGGCATGAGCAGTAGTCGTAAACAAACCTCTCATCATCATCTTCTCACATGTAATTTGGGATGGGTAACAAAATGTTAGCCAAGCCAACAATGCCTAAATGCTGCGAAAGAATAAGAAAAAAATCATTGCACTATTAATGGAGACTCCAGATGAATACTGTGTTTCTTTACTGCTACTGTTACCATTCCATTTGCCTTTGATTCCTCAACATTTCTGGTATTGAATCTCGCTCACCCTCGATCTCTGACCTTCCCTATTGTTCTACCTCCCCCTCTGTATACAGAAGAGGTTGCATTGTACAGATGTTGCTGGATCTGCTGAGTTTTTCCAAAATTTCTGTTTCATTATTTAGAAAAAGGAAGTCTGACATTTGCAGGAAGTGCTATAGTAAAATGTTACGATGGGGCCCCTAATTAGCACAACTGATTTTTCTCTTTCCTGTCAGTGACCGAAGACAATGGGCTTCAAATGAGAACATTATTTGTTTCAACTATAGTCACAGTGCCTGCCTACAGTTGCCTTTAGGGCCTATACAGGAATAATTTGCCACTTTCATAAGTGGGTATAGATAGCAGTAATGTCTTCTTCTGGGTTGTAGATCAGGATAAATTATTAACCTACTTTCTCCAGCAAATTTGGTATTCAAGTGTAACTAAAAACTATATCAAAACATATTGTTGTCAAATTAAACTGTCTGATTGAATAATTCTCATGAGTTACGCTCACAACACAAGTGGATAAGGTGGTAAAGAAGACATACAGCATGTTTCTTTCATTGGTCAGGCAGTGAGTATAAAAGTTGAGTTAGTCATGTTGCAGTTTAATAAAACTTTATTTTGGCCACATCGGGAGTATTCTGAGCTGTTCCGGTCACCGCAGCATAAGAAGG